GTGTGTGCGCGTCCGCGCTTGCATGCGTGCTTGTGTACGTGTATGTGTATGTGTATGTGTGTGTGTGTATGTGTGTGTGTGTGTGTGTGTGCGCACGCGTATATGTTGAACTTTATAAAGTAACTTCGGTGCCCTAGGCCAAAAAAAAACAAACCGCTCCGCCCCTCTAGCCTGGAGTCACCTGACGTCATCCATGAGCTCCCGGGATGTCTGCGAGTGTATCTGCACCAGCTTGTCAAGAACTCGGCCTATCTCCCGCAGCCGTGCTTTCTCGTCGTTGTTCACAGCGGAGGTCCGGAGAGAGTCCACGTAGTGCTGTACAAGACACGGGGTGAATGAGTGAATGAATGAATGAATGAATGAATTGTAAAAAGCAGCGCCATACTCTCTTACTTAAATTGATCCATATTGGTGTCATGAATGATATACATCATGTATTTAAATAATCAAAGAAAGTCTTAGTGATGGGCGCATTTTTTCACAGAGAGCATGGTGGACAGTTTAAGTGTGATCTTGTCTTAAGTGTATAAATAATAAATAGCAGTTTTATGTAACAAATTCGTACTCAACAGCAAGCGCTATGTGCTTTACAATCTATAGGCCCATTATTACCCCAGCAGATTTGATAGCATTCTGAAACAGTCTCAACTTCCTGAGAAGCATACAGTTCAAGTATGCATTCTACAGGACCTAAAACATAAATATACGGACACTATCTATGATCATGTACCCATTCACATCTGGATGAAATGAGGAAAATTCGTGTAAAGTGTCTTTCACAAGGACACAACGTTGGGCCTGAGCCTTAACAAAGATCCCACACTGTAGTGGAGGATCTTTGGCCTCGAACCCCCAAACCCTCAACTTCACGATTACGAGTCCGGTAGCCTGACCACTAGACTACAAAGCAAGCCGCCATTTATAGGCGATTAACCAACATTCTGACAAGATCTTTCTCTGTCTACGGTCGGGTACTCATTTACACCTGGGTGAAATAAGGAACATTCGTGTGAAGTGCCTTTCCCGGGAACACAATGTCAGTCCTGAACCTCGAACCACCGATTACGAGTCCGGTAACCTAATCACTTGACTGTTGACGTCCCCAAAGATCGTACACAACACGATAGTTCACTCAGCCAAAAAAGTGTCCGGAAGTCCGCGCATTGCTTCAGATGGTCCGTCGAACCCGCTACCTCATGATTATGAGTCCGGCATCCTAACCACCAGACTATCGCGCAAGCAGCAATTTTACGGACACTAAAAAAAGCTAACATACTGACAAGACCTTTCAGTTTCTATGATCGTGTACCCATTCGCACCTGGGTGAAGTGAGGAACATTTGTGGGAAGTGCCTTTCCCGGGAACACAATATCGGTCCTGAACCTCGAACTCCAGATTACGAGTCCGGTAGTCTAACCTAGACTGTAGACGCCACATAATACGGAGCGCCCATTGGGGGATCGACAATTGATTGCCCAACTCGTCGCCTGAAAACAAACTCGTTTATTTTAGGGATGACGAGTCGGGTGATCAGTTGGTGCCACAATAGCCGCTTTGCGCCCCTTTTCTCGAGGCTTAGAGATTAAGGTGTTGGCCTCTCATTCAAAGGTCCCGGGTTCGTAGCGGCCGAAAAATTTTCGTCGCTAAAATTGTCTCCTTTCACCTCCTTTCTTGCTCTCTAGCAACGTTCTGTCGTCTGCTTTCGTCTCCTCTTTCTGCCCCCACCCCCTCATCTCATTTGCCCCCCCTTCTGGGCTCCTGACTCTTTCTGTAGCCTTTCTACTGCTACTCCTTGGCTCCTTCTTACTGCTGTCTTTCAGCCACACCCCTGATCTTCTGGTAAGAAAGATCTACCCATGGCCTTCTCGGACAAGGGCGAAAAATCTCGGAGGTTCCATGTGCAAGTTGCGCACGTTAAAGATTCCTTGGTGGTCTAAAATCGATAAGAGTAGACTTCGGCCACCACCCGGGCAAAATTCAAAACTTCCTACCAACTGAAAAAGTTTAGTGTGTCCCGCGCGCTCATATGACCTTATGCAGGTGCGAGCGCCGTTAAAACACTTATCAAAAAAAAAAAGTCTCTCTCCTGGCTACCTAACTGAACAATCGTGCCAATGGGCACTGGGAATTTCCACTAGATGTAGACTACTGACGCAACGTAAGCAAGCAAACCTTGGCCTGTTGTAGAGATTGGCACTTCCTCATGACCAGCACGTCCTTGCCGCTGAGCAGCTGCTTCAGGGTGTCCACCTCACTCCGGGACACCTCCAGCTCCTCGCGGACACTCTGGGAGTCGTGTTCTCGTCGCTCGAGTTCCTGCAGGAGACACACGGGGACACAGTGAGTGATGATACTGGGTGGTCACTGACGGAGAGAGAGAGAGAGAGAGAGAGAGAGAGAGAGAGAGAGAGAGAGAGAGAGAGAGAGAGAGGCTCACAGAGAGAGAGACAGACAGACAGACAGACAGACAGACAGACAGACAGACAGACAGACAGACAGACAGACAGACAGACAGAAAAAAGACAGAGGAAGAGCCTGAGAAAGTAACAACAGAGACAGACAGAAACAGAACAAAAGAAGAATTCGCTCACCCGGAGTTTCTCCTTATATTCGAGAGCAGCTTTCCGTGCGGCCAACAACAGCAGAGATCTCTCCGACAGCTCCTTCTCCAGCCCCGCCAGCTTCACGTCTCTCTCCTGGATCTCCTCCTGCAGCCGCGGGATCTTTTCCAGGCCCTGTGCCATGTAATGATAGTAATAATAATAATAATGATAATAATAATGATGATAATATTAATAATATTAATAACAATAATAACAACAACAACAAAAACACTACTACTCCTCCTCCTCCTCCTCCTCCTCCTACTACTACTAAATACATTTAATACTAATATATGCCTCAGCAGACAGACAGGGCACACATTAACCGTACCTACGTCTTCTGCGTGCAGCAGCAAAGCGCGTAATGATAATATAGGCCATCTGTTAGTAATGTTAGACTACAGACCCTGGTAGACCCTATGCCAAATCGCTACCTGAGAATTACAAAGTTCTATCTGACATTTCGGCCGTTTTGAGTAACCAAGACCACGAGATCAGAAACCAAATGCTCTATCTGCTCTATCAAAATCGTAAGATTATTCTTAGTCGTCATTAAAGTTTTCAAAGAAATGCATTCTACAATGCTTGCCCCTCGTGAAATTCAAATTTTTTTCTTCCAATGACTAATTACTCAAAACTGGGTACAGAGCAGATAGAACTTTGTAATTCTAAGGTAGCGAAATAGTAGCGGGGTGACAGCCTGTCAATTAGGGCTGGGCAATGAGTCGTTTGAGCAAAATCCGGATAATATGTTAGTGCACCTCTTAGGTAAACAATATGTTATGAACCAATTCGGCAAATGGGTTAGAACCACTTTGACAAACGGGTTAGCATCACTTCAACAAATGGGAGCACCAACTTCGGCAAACGGATCAGGAAAGAGAATTAAGAGTCTGAATTCGGATAATGTCTTATTGAGGATTATCCTATTATTCGGATATTTATCCGGATTCTGCCCACCTCTACTGTCAATCAACGGGAGGAGGTTGAGGGTGATTATAGCGTCATCATCTTTCGCCTCTTTCACTTTCACCCCGGTTTTGGGTACAGACCACCAAGAAGGGCTCTTAGTCTCAACCTGTCTCTGTTCTGGACGATCTTATCCACCTCCAGCCAGCTTTGTCCCATATAAATATGAGTATAGTGTGGCACTTGTTAAATCTATGGAATGACTGTGGTTCATGTCTATCGTCTTTAAGATTTCAGTTTTGAAAAAAAAAAATGCTAGTGATCATCACAGGGGTGGTATGGTTTTGGTTTTGTGTGTCAATCTATCAATCTACGGTTCATGTGAATCTTCTACAAGTTTTGACTTTTAAAACATGCTAGCGATCAATCAATATGGGGCTGATAATTGTTTTGGTCCAATCAAAGAAGACGACAGTGACAATAATAATGGCAGCAACAACAACAACAACAACAAAATAAAACAACAAAACACAACAACAATAATTAAGTTAAGACAAGAGTTGAAAAAAACAGCTTCTCTTCAGTTTAGTTTTATTAAGGGGTTCACAGTATATTTGCAACATAAATAGGTCATATAAGTGCTGAAGATCAAAGTTGTTCCAAGAAAGTAACTTACAAAGTAAAGAAGGAGGAGAGATAAGCACCACAGATATTTGAAGGGAAAGAAAGGGCAAACCACACAGGAGCACCCCCCA